AAAGCGCTGGTATCACTTATTCATTATGCTAAAACAACGGTCACAAACAGCAACTTAGCACTAATTACTGCATGCTAATAAATGCAAGATAACAGGCAGAAATAGGCAGTTTGTGCTGCACAGACACCATGGTTTAAGAGCTGCAACTACCAATATTTAATAAAATGCCTTTCTACACAGATGTAATCAAATTGCATATCTGATTTCCCATATTAAAAACACTTAATTGAATGTGAAAATCTCGCTCCAAAATGGTAATGAAGCTCAAACTTGACACTTCCACAGAAGCACCCACAAATAAATCCAGCATAACAAAGAACATATCAATTATATTGGTAACTGGTAATTGTTTCGAAACAACATGAAGCTTTTTTATGACCCCAATGTTCATATTTCAGTTTTCTAGGGTTTATGACAGGAACGGTATAGCCCAGGCTAGAATGGAGCATGTAACAGGAGATGGCTTATGAAGTACCTGCATTCAGATACCCAAGTTGACCAATCAATCAGGCTGCAAACCTCATCTACGTAAGCAGATTTTGGTAGGGAGCTGAGTGTGTTGGGGATAGGGCTAGTGAGAAATGTTTTTTAAGCCATATTGTTCTGCTGACTGTGCTCAGCAAAGTATGCAAAGTGAAGTGCAATGATTTGCATTTATATTTTGCATTTCTTACGTTGCTGTATTTTTAAAGGCACACTAGGAGCGCTTGGTTTAATAAAAGATATCACATCTACCCAAAGCACCTGGCCTACCAACGAGCACTGAAAGCCTTTGATACCGTAATTGCCATTGTTTGTGGAGCTCTGCCTACCAAAATCTAAGAAATTGTTTACACTGTGGTCGCCAGTACAAAGTAAGCACCCTCAGGGAAGGAGTCAGAAAAGTTTAGCACAGTGGCACTAAACTTTATGGGGAGGGAAGAGAATTGATCTCTCCAAGGCAAATAGTCATAAAGCCTTTAGACTAGACTAGATCACATGGACCCTTGATACGGTCTAGTATGGTATTCCCTATAGCTTGGTTGGTATACTGCTCAAGCTGTACAGTTTCCATGTACAATTTCTTCTCAATTAACACATATAAAAACTAGTACTACATACTACTGGAATGACAAAAGTCTGGGCTTAATTAACCTGGAGGTGGCGTTCGGGTTGGGGTTTTGCGCTCGGGAAGACAAAAGCTTGTGTCAAGGGCTGACTTTCAATAGATCGCAGCGAGGTAGCTGCTCTGCTACACACGAAACCCTGACCAAGAATCAGGTCGTCTACGAATGATTTAGCACCAGGTTCCCCACGACCATGCGATACGCTGCGGGTGAGAGGCGGCTCCCTTCTGACCGCTCTCCAGTCCCGCCACGGACGGCTCTCCACACCGGGGCCTGCCCCCCCCCCGGGCGGGGGGGCGGCCGGCTATTTGGGGCCAACCGAGGCTCCACGGCACTGCGGTATCGTTACGTTTAGGGGGGAATCTGACTTAGAGGCGTTCAGTCATAATCCCACAGATGGTAG